GACGCAAAATATTTTTAAACCTCTGAAAGATGTACCGTTATACGCAAAATTGAAGCAAGTTTTGCCTATTTTTCTTTAGTTTATTTAATATTTGTTATTTTTTATGAACAAATATGTAGCTCATTACTTAGCAAACAACATACATATACTACAAACAGATATCACACTTTGTGATATTATGAAAATTCTGCAAAACTTCAGCAAAATTTGTAACTTTTTTATCAGCTAAAATGACGCGTCCCAGTTTATACATATGTATTTGGGTCACTCGCTTAAAACAAAAAACGTTGAAATCGTCTCACTATCTGATTGTTTTTCAGTTTTATATAACACAGTCCGACATGAAAAGACATTTCTAATAGATTTGGGATCACTAAATTTTTAAAAATAAAAACTCGTATATTTGAATTTTAATAAAATAAGGCGAATAGCGAATAGAAAAATCGGCTAAAAACGGCTAGTTTTTTTGCAAACCGGTTTGCCGGCTAAACCGAATTTTCTCCGGCTGTTTGCTATCGCAACCGGCTAAATCTAGCCGGAAAACGGCTGAAATGGCTACACTGGTTCTAACATTCTAAAGGCTCTGTTATGCATACTTGGCATTGCATGCACTGCTATACCATTTTTACGTAGAAATCAAAAACCAACAGACTTTTACGTATGTAATGCTGTGCGTTGGGTAACAGCTTACACGCGAAGCTCATTTAACAGATTCCTTATGTGACAACTCTCAAGCAATGCCAAGTATGCATAACAGAGCCTTAAGGCTCTGTTATGCATACTTGGCATTGCATGCACTGCTATACCATTTTTACGTAGAAATCAAAAACCAACAGACTTTTACGTATGTAATGCTGTGCGTTGGGTAACCGCTTACACGCGAAGCTCATTTAACAGATTCCTTATGTGACAACTCTCAAGCAATGCCAAGTATGCATAACAGAGCCTTTAAATGCTATAATTACTCGACTGTTGAATGTTACTAACGATTGTGCGAGGGAAAGAGTACAATAATACGCGTGGAGATGTTGCAGTCAGCAAGAGTACAGCAGCCGAAACACACCGAAACAACTCGAAAGATGGGGGGAAATTTAATAGTGTGTAGTGGCCTGTTGAACGCGCGTGCAGAGCATCGGCTGCCATTGTCTGAAATGCTTTGCCCAAAAGCTTTGATGGAGGAGAAGGAAGGTGGAATAGCAGGCAATTGGTGGTGGAAGCACGCAACATCATCATTATCCTCCTCCTCCCTACACGGTGACTACATTGTGTGCGAGTTGGAGGTAGTCGACGAAGGCAGCAAAGACATAACAAAGATTAAAGGCTCTGTTATGCATACTTGGCATTGCATGCACTGCTATACCATTTTTACGTAGAAATCAAAAACCAACAGACTTTTACGTATGTAATGCTGTGCGTTGGGTAACAGCTTACACGCGAAGCTCATTTAACAGATTCCTTATGTGACAACTCTCAAGCAATGCCAAGTATGCATAACAGAGCCTTAAGATGGCAAGAGAGTAGTTACAACCAGTGTTGCCGTTTTAGCCCTTTGGTGGCTAAATTTGGCTACCAAATTCTTTTTTTGGCCACAAAAATTTGAAATTGCCCCTAGCCCTTTTTTTTAGCCCTTTTCAAAAGTTATTCATCATTGACATTAAAATTTTGTATATGATTTTCATGAATTTAACTCTTCGCTCATAAAGCGAACGCCTTTCCTTTAAGGCAAATAAACTGTTCATTGTGTCGCTAGCTTAAGTGGCGGAAAAAGTTTGTTTATCGGTTGCTTCTTTTACCTTTAAGTAACGCAGAAGTTGAAAGGACGTTTTCTATAATAAATTTCGTTAAAAATAAGCACAGAAATAAAATGAATTTTGTAATGTTCAACGCTTTATTAACTGTAAGATATGGCTTAAAAAATAAATGTACAGAAATGTTGTCATGATTTTGATTTTACAGATGATATCGTCAGGTTAATGAGAAATGAACAAAATTGTAACGACGAAGAATCGCTTAGCGATGATAGTATTGATATAGATACATATAAATATTTAATGTGTTAAAAAAATGTTTATAGATTAAATTATTTTACTATGAGTTCATTAAATGAATACTCTTTTGTTTGTTTGATACATACAGCGCCGGACAATAATAAAGCACCGACATTTTAATTCTTTGTAAATTATAACATAACATTTTAAAAATTTCTTTTACAAATGGATATTTTTCGAAGCATAGTTTGAAATTATTTAAGTTATTTAGTATTGTCCGACACTGTATATAGATATGATTCTAGTACTTATGTATTCTTAATGTGATCTCATTTTTTGTTTATGTAAGAAATTAATTTTTAAACTGTACATACATATGTATATGTATGTTTTTTACGTTTCTGGGCCGTTATCTTATCTATTAACGATTTAACTATACTTTAAAATAGGTAAATTGGCGGCCCTTAATATGCTTTGTGTGTTACACAACAAGTTTATTTGTTGAATAAAATATTAATTCTTTCCAGAGTTCATTGTTTTTCTATATCATTACTTATAGAAAATGTTTGCGTGTATACTTATATATTTATATGTAGGTAAAAAAATTTAGCTACCATCTTTAGCCACAACGACGATTTTTAGCTCTTTTTTAGCCCTTTTTTAGCCTGAATTTAGCTACCGCTAAAAATGTTTCGCGGCAACACTGGTTACAACGAGTTAAAATAATTTTTTTTTCTTTGCTGCTGGCAGCTTCAAAATGGACCAGAAAGTGAGGTAGCCAACCAGCCAGCTAACCTCAGTGCCGAAATGAAGATTTTGCACGCCGTATGTAAGCCACATTTTCGACGTTAGGTTGGTTGGACGGTCGATTGGCTTGCTAAGTGTTCGTTTGTACAGACGTGCATGCATACATATGTATGTACATTAGAGCGGAGTAATTTGTCCGCAGCAAAATTTTCGAAGAAAGTGTATAGGAAATTCAAATTCTACGATTAATACTATCAAAAAGTGGCGAAAACACTATATACCAAAAATTACGTTTGACCCTCCCAATTTTCAAAAGAAAAATTAGTATATTGTAACTATTTTGGTCGAAATTTATTTTTCATTGTACCAATATTTTTTTCTGTTTTCACGGTTTTGTGCAGTTGTTTCTTAAATATGAAGAAAACACAAAACTTTGTAAAAAAAAATCTAATTTCGTTCAGAAAAAATTATATTGGACTGATTTTTCTTTTTGAAAATTGGGAGGGTCAAACCTCAATTTAGTATATAGTCCTTCGTTCACCATTTTTGCTTAGAACCGAACGTAGAATTCGAATATGCCATACACTTTTCGAAATTAAATTACTCCGCCCTAATGTCCATACATACATTAGGATGCATCATCATAAAAAGTTGCGGCCTTCCCACCGCAGTTATACAGTCTATTATACTTTGAGGCTTTTGCGAAAAATATTAAGATTTACGTGAGTTGGGGCGATCTGAAAATGCATACATACCTTCAAAAATCTCATTCAGGCATGCTCTGGATTTTGAATTCGAGTAAAAAAATATCGAATTCCGTTTGAATCCACATATGCGTGCTCCACGTTTATCGGTTTACTTTTTCAATTGTAATCGATTTCGAAATGATATCGAACAATATTGCCTGCTCTATAAATCGAATGCACATGAAAACATGTGTTTTAAAACACTTTCAGTTGGCCGTGCGAAATTAAATTCAAGAGACAAAAAATGTAAGTCGCATAATTATTTTATTTAAATATTTAAGGAAAACTAACAAAAGTTCTAAATTTTTAGGGGTAAGCACAAAAGCAGCTTGCAGGACTCCATTATGCTCCGTTTTATGGAAAGCAACCCCGATATGGCCAAAGGCTTCATAAAAGGCGATAAGGCGAAGAGTGACATGCAATGGAGAGTGCTAGTAGACGAACTGAACAGTAATGGACCGCCTACAAAAGACGTCGTCGGTTGGAAAAAGGTAAGCCACCAAAGACAAATTGCTATGAACGTTTATTTATTTGTATAAAACATGTATCTAGGTTTGGATAGACTGGAAAGCTACGGTCCGCAAAAAAATCGCACACAACAACTCTGAAGCCAGAGCTACGGGTGGTGGACCCTACAATAAGTATGTGCTTACCTCTACTGAAGAAAAAATTGGCCAAATTTGCGGAATTTTTAAAGTTGTCGAAGGTATAGAGAATACGCGCGATTTTGGGCAACAGGAAAATGAGGAAGTATCAAGCAATGACGACAATGAGAGATCGAGCGTTCTCACTACCCCTACTCCTATTCGTAATGTAGCCAGCACACCGAAACGTCGCCGGGAGCCTAGCTTCAATGAGTGCATTAAAAAATACATGGGTGAAAAATATGAAAATATGAACTCAAAGAGTTGAATCGCAAATTTAAAAAATTTTACGAGAATGTAGTTAGTAGTGTCGAAGAGAAGAAAAGACACCACCTCAAAATAGAGAAAATTCGAGAGGGAGAACTTGAAATAAAGCACAGGAAACTGGAGCTGCAGGAGATAGAAATTAACATACTTTCAGAGAAGAAAAAGACTGAAATGTAATGGTTTGTATTGCGCAAGAAGAATTTCTGATGGGACTACTAAATCATGAAGTGGAAAATACTATATGCTGTATTCAACTTGAGTACAATAAGCTCTCTTTTTAATACTTGAATGCTTACTGGATTTTTAGAAGAATAAGCTCCATTTATTATTATTTTTGTAATAAAGTGAAGTGAATATTTTGCTTTCAGTTTTTTTTTTTTTTTTAATTATAATAAGTTTGCTATATAGTCCCTTAAATTGGATGCATTTCGCTCATCCGGTGTATCGTCCGACTCGTCGTCGCTTTCTTCAGCGCCGTCTATCAAGGGCAAATCCGGTAGTTTATAATACCTGCAAATGTTATGTAGCGCGCAGCATACATTGATTATTTGTACGACTTTTTGCGGCTGGTATTGTAAATGACGAGCTAAGCATCTAAACCTGCTTTTTAATACCCCAATCGTCCTCTCTATTATGTTGCGTGCGGAAGCGTGTCGTTGGTTGAACCTGTATTGTACTGTTCCAGGCTGTGGATCACGATATGGTGTTAGTAAGTACGGTTGAAGGGGGTAGCCAGCATCTCCCAAAAGCCTGTCTCCGCGCTCGCCGTTCTCATAAGATTGGGAAAAGTAGGTGTGTGATTTGCTTACTCTCCAAATCAAAGAGTCGTGGCAGGACCCTGGCATCCACTGTTTTTATCATCATTTGGTAATCGCAAATCTGGAAAAAACTAAATTAATTAAAAAGCATGTATATGAAATTTTATTTCTTACAATCAAAGCGTTAATGCTAAAATATCCTTTTCTGTTGTAAAAAAGGTTAGGGTCAATGTGCGGCTTGGTGATCCTTATGTGTGTCCCATCCACACAACCTATTATGCCAGGGATTCCAAACTTTTGCATAAAGTGGCGTTTCGATTGGCTACGTTCAGAGTTCGTGATATTTAATTTAATCCACACTGGACAGACATACTTTTCAAGTATACCAAGGACTCGTTTTAAAATTTTGCCAACAGTGCTTCTTCCCAATGCAACATCACTCTCCTTTCCGACAGCCTTTTGAAAACCGCAAAAATCGTATTGTACACGCCAACTCAATACAAGGTGAAATCGACGACCTTTTAATTCGTGTAGTAATAATTTCCAGTAACATCCGAAATGCGTCTTTGTTAAGTCTGTAATACGACACAAATCTAGAAAATGTTTATAAGTGCTTTATTAATTTTACAACGCAATTTTCTAACACTTACGTCGCCTCATTCAGCTCGAAAGGATTAAAGCTGTCTCTTAAAGTTCGCCGCCGAATAGCTTCAACGGAGTATTCATTATTTGCATTTCTAATTAAAGCTAACAACGCCATTTAACTTTTTTATTACATTTATTGGTTTTAGGAATTTTTAATAAACTTGTCACTTTTTATCACTAAAAATCCAATCAACACTTTGCATTTGATTTTACACATTTCATTTTACAATGGATAATGAACAATAACAAAAATCAGCTGTGTTCGAATTTCATGTTCGAACAAAATGAAAACGCAAAAAAATGTGTGGTTTGTAGAGCACCAAAAGCAAAACGACTTCGATTCAAAATGAATCTGAATTTGAAATCGAGTAGAAATCCAGAGCATGCCCGATTATTTTGATTCTGTTTATAAAATGTTTAAAACACTTATGCAGGACTTTCAAACTTAAACTCTTCTAGCATCTGAGGTAATTTTTTGGAAAAAAGACTTTTTTTTTTTAAACTTGATTTTTTGAGGTTATTCCAAATATGTCCAGCTCACGTAAATCTTGATATTTTTCCGTAATATTTTGGCGGATGTTTTAAAATATAAATGATTTTATAGTTCTGAAGGAAAAACAGTACCGATTTTTTTGTATGGAGAGTGATGCAATCTAATGTACATATGTACATACATTAATAAAATAAAAAGACAATAACCGCTTGGTTAGTAAA